TGCTTGGTCATTTTGTTTTTAATGTTTTGTTTTGCAATGCCGCTGAGGTCGCGAATTTTTGACTTGAATGGCCTCAAGATCAGCGACTTCCCAGAGAAGAGGCAGAAGGAGTTGCTGGAGGGTTTGCTCCAGGAATCCGAGGATTTCTGGGGGCACGAGAGGAACCTGGTGAAGCACAAGATTCCCGAGCTCTGCCGGTACTTTTACCGGACCTTGGTGGAAAGCAAAGATGCAACCCGATCGACCGAGTCAGGCACCTTCGAAATGAGTGCTAGCCTAGCAGCGAAGGAGACGAAAAGCCTGCAGAACAGCAAGGGTGAGGTGAAGTTGGAGCACCCCGAGCGGACCGAGCTGAGCAACTTGAGCAAAGTTGCCAACAGTGCAGTCAAGAGCCTGGATGCCAAGCATGGAGAGTTGAGCTCGGAATGCATTGCTCTCGAGAATTGCCCCAACCTCGCTAGCAAAGCGCCGGAGGTCCGGGTTACCCTGGATGCTCTGAAGAAGTTTGTGGATGATCTTCGAAAGATCCAGGTCCTGCTGGATCGCAAGCTTCCCACGATGGACGAGGCAGCCTGCAAGAACGAGAAAGCCGACATGGAGCAGTGGAATCGCAATGCCAATGAGCATCTTGACAATGTGAAGTTGTTGCTGAAGAAGGTTAGGGGCTGGCAGGCCTAGGATCCATCGAGCATGGATCTGGATATCATGCAAGCAGCATTTTGCTGCATTGAGGCGATCCACGGCAGGCGAACTTAAAAATTACACCAGCGAAGACCCCAAACAGAATGCATCGAATCATACCGGTTCGGGTTGGAATATGTTGGATCCCAATCTGGCTTCGCCAGCAGATTTTGCGAAGAAGAATTAGGCATTGGGCGATATATTTCTGCGAAAGAAGAGTGGGTGGTGGTACTCAAGCATGCGGGAAGGTTTTTGGGAGGTCCAGGGAGCATCGTTCAGAGGATCTTGCTTCAACACCATGCACGGAAAACATGCACATGTCTCCCGCAACTGCCACATTGTTGCCGCCTTTGCAAAACAGGATACCTGGCCTCTGCTGCAAACGTTCGCGGACGAAGTGCAAAAGAGCTTGGTGTTCGCTTCGGTTGGCTGTCGGACGGGAAGAAAACGAGAACTTTGCCGTGCATGTTTGGCAAGAAGAAAGGTAGGAAGGGATTTGTCGGCTTACAACGTAAACAAAAAGCTCTCTTAACACGGAACCATTCACGTTTCTCTGCTGACCGAACGAAGACCATTGTCCACAGGATTTTGTTGCCGCAGGAACCGCACAAAGAAAAAACGCAACTTCTCCACAATTTTCATAACATAACCGTTTTGCAAAACAGGATTCCTTGCCTCCGCTGTAGACATTGGAGGAAGAAGCACAACAGAGATTGCTATATGGATCGGTTGGCTGTCGCACAGGAAAAAAGTGTGAACTTTGCCGCGCAAGTTTGGCGAAAAAAAACGCGCACAGGGGTGCGTCGGCTTACAACACAAAGCAAAAATCTTTCTTTACACGGAACCATTCACGACTTTTTCCGCAGACCGAGCGAAGATCCATAGAATCTTGCTACCGCAGAAACCACGCACGGAAAAAAACACACGCAACATTGCCATGTTGTTTTTGCAAGACAGGATATGTGGCCTCTGCCGTAAACGTTTGTGGAAGAAGCGCAAAACAGGTTGGTATACGGATCGGTTGGCTGTCGCGCGGGCAAAACGTGTGAACTTTGCGGCGCAATTCTGGCGAAAAGAAGAGCAAATGGGTTTGTCGGCTTACAAGGCAAACAAAAATCTTTCTTTACACGGAACCATTCACGGTTTTGTCCGCAGACCGAACGAAGATCCACAGGATCTTGCTGCCGCAGCAACCACGCACGGAAAAAACACGCACAACATTGCCGTGTTGCTTTTGCAAGACAGGATATGTGGCCTCTGCCGTAAACGTTTGTGGAAGAAGCGCAAAACAAGTTGGTATACAGATCGGTTGGCTGCCACACGGGAAGAGGTAGGAACTTTGCCGCGCAAACTTGGCAAAAAGAAACGCAAAGGGGTTTGTCGGCTTACATCGCAAACACAAATCTTTCTTTACACGGAACCATTCACGGTTTTGTCCGCAGACCGAACGAAGATCCACAGGATCTTGCTGCCGCAGAAACCACGCACGGGAAAAACACGCAACATTGCCGTTTTGCGAGACAGGAGATGTGGCCTCTGCTGTAGACGTCTGTGGAAGAAGCACGAAAGAGGTTGGTATACAGATCGGCTGGCTGCCAAACGGGAAAAGGTAGGAGCTTTGCCGCGCGAACTTGGCAAAAAGAAACGCAAAGGGGTTTGTCGGCTTACATCGCAAACAAAAATCTTCTTTACACGAAACCGTTGACGATTTTTTCCGCCGACAAAACGAAGAACGTCGTCCACAGGATCTTGCTGCCGCAGAAACCACGCACGGAGAAACACACAAGTTCCCCTTTACACGGAACCATTGACGATTTTTCCGCAGACAAAACGAAGAACGTCGTCCACAGGATCTTGCTGTCGCAGAAACCACGCACGGAAGAACACACAACCTTCCCGCAACTGTTACAACATTGCTGCCTTGCGAGACAGGATACCGGATACCTGGCCTCTGCTGTAGACGTTTGTGGAAGAAGCACAAAAGAGGTTGGTTTACGGATCGATTGGCTGTCGCACGGGGAAAAGTGGGAACTTTGCCGCGCAAACTTGGCGAAAAGAAGACCGCACAGGGGTGTGTCGGCTTACAAGGCACAATACATATCGTTCTTTACACGGAACCAGTGACGAATTTTTCCACAGACCGAACGAAGAACTTCGTCCACAGGATCTTACTTCCGCAGAAACCACGCACGGAGAACACACACACACACACAACTTTCCCGCAACTGAGTTAATCCGACCCTCAACAGCAGCACAACGATACTGGGGTAGGATCGCCGGGCAAGGCGAGGAAATCCAAAAGGGAAGCCCAGCCTGAAGAGGAACACAAGCTGCAAGCGTACCTCTTTTCTCATTACTTGAGCCAAAGATCATGTCATTGGCACATTAAGCTACGCAGTCAGACATGTTACCTATACAAGGACAGGGTACGTCGTATTCGATCAACTAACTGTTACAACATTGCTGCTTTGCAAAACAGGATACTTGACTTTTGCTGTAGATGATAAGCACGAAGCAGGTTGGTATACGGATCGGTCGCCTGTCGGACGGAGCAAATTGGGAACTTTGCCGAACTTGGCAAAAACAAGTGCGAAGAGGTTTGTCGGCTTCTAAGGCGAACGAAAATCTTCTTTTGCACGGAACCAGTGACGATTCTTGAACAGACCGAACGAAGACAGGATGTTGCGGCAAGTTTCCCGCTAGTGTCACAACTTTGCCGTTTTGCAAGACAGGATACCTTGCCTCTGCTGTAGACGTTCGTGGAAGAAGCACGAAAAGGATAAGTATACGGATCGGTCGGATGTCGCACGGGAAAGACGGGCAACTTTGCCGCACAAACAGGGCAAAAAGAAAAGCGAAGGAGTCAGCTTACATCGCAAACAAATATTTTCCTTACACGGAACCATTGGCAATTTTTCCGCAACGTCGTCCACAGGATCTTGCTGCAGCAGAAACCACGCGCAGAAAAACACACAACTGTTACAGCATTGCTGCCTTGCAAGACAGGATACCGGATACCTGGCCTCTGCTGTAGACGTTTGTGGCAGACCAGGCGATCAAAAAGGAAACATTAAGGGAACCCAGCGGGAGCTCAGGCCCTCTGCTGCGGCCCGCCCGTCCAACCCAGGAGCCCAGAAAGGAAACAGGAAGGAAGCCCAATTGGCAGCCCAATCCCTTTGCCGCGGCCCACCCATCCAATCCAGGAGCCCAGAACGGAAACATAAAGGGAGGTAAACGGGATTGCCGCGGGGCAAGGAAACATGAAGGGAGCCCAACGGGAGTGCAGGTCCAACCCAGCAGCCCAGAAAGGAAACATGAAGGGAGCCCAATGGGAGCCCAGGTCCTTCCACCCGTCCAAACCAGGAGCCCAGGAAGGAAACATGAACGGAACCCAATGATAGCCCAGGTTCTTTGCGGCGGCCCACCCGTCCAACCCAGCCCAAAAAAGAATTGAAGGGAACTGAATGGGAGCCCAAGTCCTTTGCCGCGGCCCACCCATCCAACCCAGGAGCCCAGAAAGGAAACATGAAGGGAGGCCAATAAAGTCCAGGTCCTTTGCCGCGGCCCACCCGTCCAACCCAGGAACCCAGAAAGGAAACATGAAGGGAAGTGAATGGGAGCCCAGTCCTTCGCCGCGGCCCACCCGTCCAACCCAGGAGCCCAGAAAGGAAACATGAAGGGAGGCCAATAAAGCCCAGGTCCTTTGCTGCGGCCCACCCGTCCAACCCAGGAGCCCAGAAAGGAAACATGAAGGGAAGTGAACGCGGCCCACCCGTCCAACCCAGGAGCCCAGAAAGGAAACATGAAGGGAGGTGAATGGGAGCCCAAGTCCTTCGCCGCGGCCCACCGGTCCAAGTCAGGAGCCCAGAAAGGAAACATGAAGGGAAGTGAAGGGGAGCCCAGGTCCTTCGCCGCGTCCCACCCGTCCAACCCAGGAGCCCAGAAAGGAACCATGAAGGGAGCCCAATGGGAGCCCAGCCAGTTTGCCGCGGCCCAGCCATCCAACCCACCGCGGCCCACCTTTTTCCTGAGGAGAGAACCCCAAACCGTACCTGTTTGGGGCAAAACAGTGCTTTGCAGCCGCGAACAGCATGCACCACATATTGTCTTTCAAGCTTTTGCTGAATGTTTTCTGCTTGCAGCCAAGGTCGATCTTCTCGAGCTGCAGATAGGGCCCTTTGCATGCAAAAGGGCGAGCGCAGCAGCAGCTCGCAGACTTCAGCCGAGAACTGTGCTAGCTTACTGTGCAATATATGTTGCAGGGTATAGGTGCTCAAGTTTCTGAAGTTTGTTTTATTTCTGGAGCTGCATGTGAAGCCATGTACTCCAAGAACAGTCGTGGTTACAATGAGGAAGACGTGCCTGAGATGAAAAGGTTTCGGGCCAATCTTTCCGATGCTTTTTTGTCTGGGCAGATCACAGCTGCCAGGACAGCTTCCCTTTTCAAGGATGCTCAATCTTCTGGTGCCAGTGGTGTGGACGACTTGGCCGCTGCACAAGACAAGAATGCAGCCAGAAGCCTAAGAAGGAAAATGTTGAAGGGGTCCCACTGGCCAGACTGCTACTATGCCGACATAGAGCTGCATGACCCCAAGCTGCAGGAGAACCGCCAGGTCTCCTTGCCGTTTTTGCTTCCCCATGAAATTCTGGGGAAGCTTTTTGAATTTGGTGACTCAGCCTGGATCCTGAGCCAGGATGTGCTGCAAGAGGATGCTGAGCTGATTGAGAAGTTTTCTTTGTCGTGCCAGCCAGCGAGAGATCCAGCGACAATTCTGCCACTGGGGCTCTGGAATGACGGGGTGCCTTGCAATTGGGACAGGTCCCAAAGCTTGGAAGTTATAGCTCTAAGTTTCCCATCCATTCCTGGCCTTCGAGTTCCGCTGTTCTGTCTGAAGAAGATGTTTGAAGCCAAGAAGTGTACCATGGATGCAGCCATGAAGGTTTTGGTGTGGAGTTTCGAGCAGCTGGCTCTTGGAAGGTATCCTTCTCGAAGGCATGATGGCAGCCCCTTCGATTTACGGGTCGACAAGGCACGTCTTCGTCTAGCTGGGTCAGATTTGCCAGTTGCATGTTTGGCACAAATCAGGGGCGGCTGGAAAATTTCAAGGATACCCTTTCCCTGCCTGCACACAACGAAAACAATGGTTGCTGCTGGATTTGTCCCATGACACCTGATAAAGTGCACGAGGTGGATTTGCAGGCCTCCTGGAGACATCAATATTTTGATCAGGAGACCTTTATCATGAGGTGCTGGGAGGAGCACAGGTTCATGAGTGCTGTGTGGCAGTTTCCAAATTTTTGTCTCAAGGTCATCAGGTTGGATTGGCTGCATATTATGGATTTGGGTTGTGCTGCAGATGCTGCTGGGAATGTTCTGTACCACCTGCAAAGCAAGATGCCTGCTTCCAATATTACCAAGCGAACTGGGGAGCTCTACAAAGAGATTTCGCAGGAGTACAAGAACCAGGGTGTCGCATCCGATCGACTGGCCACATTGACAGAGACCATGTATCGCAAGGAAGCTGGAAAAGCTCCAAAGCTCAAAGCCAAAGGTGCAGAAACCAGAAAGTTGATACCTATTTTGGATGCTGTGTGCCGAAAGTTTCTGGACAGCTCAGGGGATCTGGATTCGGTAGTTTTGGCTTGCATCTCTTTGGTTTTGGCATGCTATGCTGCTCTGGATGTCGAGCCCTACGACCCCAGCCTCATGGAGCGAGAGGTCAGAAGGTTTGCTTTGCAGTATGTGTCTTTGAGGGATCACTTTGGTGACAATATCGCCTGGCGAGTTAAACCGAAGCTTCACCTCCTCCTGCACCTTTCGCAGAGCCCTACATGTCCAAAGGACATCTGGTGCTTTTGAGATGAAGATTTCGGAGGAGCTACTGCAGCCATGGTAAGGGCCAAAGGCGGCCACAACACTCCGGGAAACTCTTCCCAGCTTGTCCTGGACAAGTTCAAAGCCAGAAACACCCTGCCTGTGCTAGCTGCTTGAAAATGATCGAGCGAGTGATCGACTGCATGCTTTGCTTGATTCTAGGATTTAGGATAGGGTTAACGGCAATTTTCTGGAGCCTGCCTCCAGCAATATCTGTCAAACTTGTTGTTTTAATTGAAAGCTGTCAGCCTTAATTAAGAGACGTACTTTTCATGCTTGTTTAAAGCTGAAAGCTTTAAATTTTCATTAAAACACCTTTTATAATGTTTAAATAAAGGTTATAAGCTTTAAAAAGAGTTTAAAGCTGTATATAAGCATGAGGTTTACGCCTGATAAGGAAACTTAAGCACGTCACCTTATTTAAAGCTTATTGGAGCTTCAGGGTAGATCGTTAGCTTCCAGCCACTCCTTCCAGATCTGGCGTAGCGTCTCTTGGAGCTCTTCGGAGCTAGCCAGGGAACATCCCTTAGCACCTCCAGCAGCCATCCGGAAGGCCTCCTTCTCTAGCTCCTCTTCCGAACCGACCTTGGCGAGGATAGCCTCCATCATCTTTTCCCGTAGCCAGTCCCAGTTAGGGCCCTCTGCATAGCTGCGGGTAGCGTGGGTCCAGCGGCCCGGTGAACAGAGACCCCCACCGTCGTGGTAGCTCTTGTTTCCTCCTAGCTGTTGGCAGGATCTCGGTGGGCCCGAACCTCCTAGCACTCGCGGTCCCTCCGGCTCACAGGTCGGGAAGGTCTCGGGTAGCGGGCAGGGGGCCATTAGCAGCGTGCTTGAACATGTGTCCCATGGCAGCAGCAGAAGGCAGCGGTCCAGTATAGCGGCCCTTTTCATCATAGCACGGCGGTCCTTCATGAACAAAGTCCGGCATAGCTGAAGAGCACTTGAGTAGCAGCCGGGTCGGCTTAGCATAGGGCGTGCCGAAGCTAGCCTGGTGAAAAGCCACTGTCCGTAGCCCCTTGTGCAGAAGGTCGGCTCTGCCACATATGGAGGCCGGCCGTGCGCCTTGGTGGGGACCTTTAGCAAGAGCGCCAAGGTCCTCAGGTTGCTCCATAGCCAGAAAGGTAGCTGCCCCCTCTGCGACCAGGGTAGCGACCTCGAAGCTGAAGTCGGCAAAGATGTTGCCCAAAATAGCTCGATCACGCTCTGCTGGGGTTAGCGTTTCCAGGCCTCGCGGAAACTCGTAGCTGCGCACCGGGCGAGGGCCATTGAAATTGGCCCAGGGCGCTCTGGAAAAGCTAGCGCAAGGCGGCGACAGCAAGACAGCGTCGAACTCCTTGTTAGCGATGCGGTCCAGGTAGCTTTGGCGGATCTTGGGCGAGCTGAGATCGTACTTAGCGTGTCGGACCAAGTCCACACACTCCACCCTAACGTCAAGACCCAGCTCCCCGGCTAGCTGATGCAGGCACTGGGCCACATCTAGCCGACGGGAGACCCCTGAAAAGAGGTACCCTTGGCGGCTTTGTCGGCGTAGCGGCCGTTGGCGTCCGCGTAGCCACCACCTCAGGCGCTGAGGGTTCCACTGGAATAGCGGGTCAGTTGGAGGGCTTGTCCTCCTTAGCGGCCTCGTTCTGCTTGCGCGTGGGGCACTGGGTAGCGGGATGCTTTCCGAAGCATAGCGAGCAGACGTGCTCGAAGTGGCATTTGCTGCCATTCTTGCACCCCTTGGCGTTGTAGCGGAAGCAAATGAGCTTTGCCTGGGGGGTGCGATCGGCCCCCAAGCTCTTCTTAGCCTTGCCCCCTTTGGGGGGGGCGTCCTTGCCCTTGCCCTTGCCTTTGGGCGTTTTAGCGGGCCGCTCCTCTGTCCAATTCCACGGCTGCGGCCTTTTAGCGTGGAGGGCCAGCGGCGTGGTAAAGTGCCGTTCCTTCACACTAGCGTCCTTGTAGGCATGGACCAGCGCGGCGCCGAAGGAATAGCCGGCGTGCTTGCGGATAGCGTGCTCGTAGCTGAGCACCAGGGGCCACGGGGGCACAAGCGACCCCGAGTCGGCGCTGGATCGGAGACCATAGCAATAGTCTCCAAGGAGATAGTCTTTGTAGCGCTCGAAGAGGGCCATGGTGACATCCTGTAGCTCCTCCCGATTGGGGTGCCTTAGCTGGATCATGATTAGCGTGTTCTGGAGAACCGTGAGCCGCAGCCGTAGCTGCTCCGGCCCAGAGGGCGTCGGAGCCCTGGCACCACCTTTGAGGTCCGCTTCGTCCGTAGCTGAGGCTGCGAACTTAGCGACGGTATCGATACCGTTGGAAAAGAGCTCGGATTGGATAGCATCCGAGACTTTGTGTTGCACTAGCAGGAAACGAAGTTCGCTGCTTCCGAGGGCTAGCTTCTTTGCTAGAGCCTCTGCCTCTGCCATGGTAGCAGGCACGGTCGAGGCTTACAGCGCTAAATGAAATAGCCTAGAAAATGTTAATTGTTCCTGCTAGCACTTAGGGAAAAGCCTGTAGCGTGACAGTGTCTGAGGGGCCAGTCGATGAATTCGCTGAAAAGGCACTGCAGTCGCAGACGGCCATAGCAGCCCCATCGACCCCGGCCCCCCCCCTGTAGCTCTCAACACTCTCTCTCGCTCTAGCCCTTCCCTTCTGTCTGGCTGCCGACATGTGTGTAGCGTGGACTGCTGCCTGCACCTAGCCGTGTAGCGAGCGCAGTTCCCACCTTTTGCTGCGGCTAGCGGTCGGCAGCAGAGGGCGCTGCAAGGGTAGCCGCTGTGCATCTTGAAAATAGCGAGGCCGGGGCCAGTAGCGAGGCCGGGGCCACTTTTAGCGGCCGCCCCAGTCTTCCCCGCGGCTCCACTTCTTACACCCGTCACAACAGTGACTAGCGTGGTCATCTACCTTAAACCACATACGCCTATTACAGGCGTGCGGCGTGCAGATCTCGCAGGCAGTCGCGCACCTGAAGATGCAGGCGTTAACGTCCCAGTGGCCCAGGGAGTAGCGACAGCGCCCAGGCTGGTACTGGGTATAGCAGCTGGGCAACAGCATGGCTAGCAGCTCGGGGGTGCCCTCCAGCGGATGGGCATAGCGACACATTAGCGAGGCATCCTCTCTGCCTAGCGAGTAGAGGTGCTCTCCATGGTGGATAGCGTTCTTGACTAGCGCGCCATCGTCACCTTTTCCATAGCGGGGGTTGGGCCCCTTGCCCTTCCCCTTTTCATAGCGCTGGTCCCACGAACCTAGCGGCCAGAGATCGCGGTCGATACTGGACCACGATAGCTCGACATACCAAAAGCCTTTGCCTTTCGGCAGGCGGTCTGGCCCGGCCCTTCAGCGCGACACTCACCGGTGTCCCCTTAGCCTGGCGGATCCTGCTGCAGCTCTCGGCGTAGCAGTTCCAGGGTCAAACCAGCACGCCCCACGTGTAGTCGAAGACATTGATTGTAGCGGCCGGCTGGCCCTTGCCCCCGGCTGGCTTCCCCTTAGCGCCCTCCTTGCCTCTGCCTCGGCTTGGGCTGGTAGCGCGAGGGAAGGAGGGAGTAGCCGCCGGCGTTGTCGGCCCCAAGTCCATGAACTTCGGAGCGGCGGACTCGGCCGGCACGGTACCTTCTCTCCAACGGTGGTAGCGGGCACCGGGTTGGGGTCGGTGCTGCCCGTAGCTGTCGCATCCCGGGTAGCGGCCTCCGCTGCGGCCTGCAGAATGAGGACTTGCTAGCGGCCACCGCCTCTTGGAACTCCCGCTCGGCAGCCTCCTCGTCCTTAGCAAGCCGCTCTGCGGCTTCCTTCTTCTTCTGCTCTAGCGCGGCCGCTGCGACCCTCTGATGCGATCTTAGCGGCCAGCGCCTCCGCCTCTTTGCGGCCTTGGCTTTGGCAGCGCTAGCGGCCGCATTAGCAGCGGCAAGCTGCGCTAGCTGCGCCTTGGCCGTGGCGGCCTCGCTAGCGGCGAACCTCTGGGTAAGGCTCGCTGACATAGCGGCGTCCAAGCTATAGCGATGTCGTCTTGCGACAGGTCTGCCCAGCCGTGGCTGACAGAACCCGCCGTTCCAACATATTAGCGGTTCCTCCCATAGCTGCGCCCAAGGCACGGATAGGGTGAAACCGCTAGGAATTTCTGCGAAGCCGTGGGCTAGCGGTGGGAGGAGGTTTAGCACAATCACTGGCTCCTGCGCCTAGCTCCTGTGTGCCCTGTTGCCTAGCGCGGGCCCAGCCCGCCTCGTTTCGTAGCGCCTGCCTCCGCTCCTAGCTCCTTCCTGCAAAACGGACCTAGCACAAGCACTGGCTCCTTTCCTAGCTCCTGTGTTTCTTGGGTGGCCAGCAAAGGGGTCGCCCGGCCCCGGTTTCCTAGCGCCTGCCTTCGCTCCTTGCTCTCTTGCAGGACACTGGCGGCACACACAAAACACAACACAAGCACACAGCAAGTGACCCCCCCCCAGTGCGTCCCCATTCCCCCCCCGCCAGCACACCATATACTCTAGCGGCGTTATGCGAAGGAGGAGGGAGAGAGAGAGGAAGGAGGAGAGAGGGTACCGACCTAGCAGCCTTTCTAGCCCTGCCGCGAGTCCGGCGGATTAGCACGCCCTGCGCTCAAGGATGACTGCTAGCGGACCCTGCCGAGGGTTCACCTGGGGGCTCGTCATCTTCCGAGTTAGCAAGCGAACCTTCGCTAGCGTCTCCTTCGGAGATAGCCCCTTGGTTCGGCCAGCATAGCTTGCACACATGAGTGTACTCGTGCGGCTCTGGGACCGAATCAAGAACCCTAGCGTTGCGGAAAGCACGCCACTTTCCCATCCAACACCCTGTAGCGCCTGCCTTGTGCAGGCGGAAGATGGCACCCGGGACCTCTACGATCACATAGCTACCCTGGCTGCGGTCAGGAACCCTGGCCTGCTTCTTAGCAGGCCGTTCCACGACCTCCGCAGAAGCCTCGGAGCTGCTCCCCGCCACTAGCGGCTCATCGAGCTCGACCGGTTCCTCTGGAACCTCTAGCTCTGCCGCCTCTGGGGGTACTTCGATGATCAAGGTGGTTATTAAACAAGTAGCACACTTAGTATATAAATAGCAGGCTTGTCGAGGTTAGGTATATGTAGTTAGGAAAGTGTCATAATTACACTTACGATATGTAGAGTAGTGTAGTTAGCTAAGTACACATAGCGGAGTTATGTGTCGGAGTTATGTCGAGGTGTTTCTATATATGAGTGCATATAACTGTGAGTGTGTATGCACAATCTCAATAGACTCGCAGGCAGGGCTTCAAGCTCGCCATGCAGATTTTTTCTTAGGCAGGAGTGACCATGACCTCGCCATCCTTGGGACACTTCTTATAGTAGCATGCCCTCTGGATGTGGACACTCGGAATAAACCGAGCCGTGGAATCGTCCAGGAGGAAGCGATTCTTACCCAGAGGCTTCAGAATGCTACACAAAGTGCACATGTCCCGTCATACAGGCGGCAATGCAGCCACACTTGGACCACATCACCAGAAGAAAGCAGCACGAGATCACCTTTCTCGCAGCTCTGGCCCGGCCTGCAAACGGCCTGAAAGGAAAAAGTCGCACCGCATGCTCGATCGCCGAAGTTTGCATTCAACATGGCCTGCAAAGAGATCGTAGCTTTCTTGGGTGACAGCAGATGGGGCTGCAGACTGAAAGAGTCCGCTTGCATCTGCAGGATCACTTCGCCCCACACGTCTCTGAAGACGGATTTCTCAAACCAGTCTCCAGGGTTGTGAATCTCGTTTGCCAGCTGTTTGATTTGGCGATGCTTTCTTTCGTGAGTGAAGCAGGAAATCAGCGGTTTCTTTCGAGCAAAAGCGCCAAGGTGCAGGCTATAGTGGAATTTAGGCACAACATGCTCGGAGCCATATGCACTGAGAAATGCCCGGCAGTGTTTGAGGATGGCGGCCTCCAAATCGTCTGGTGGCACCTGCTCTCCCCGGTTCCCTTTAAGCAAGAGATCCAGGACGAGAAACAAATTCAAACAACTGGTCATCGCCTTTGCCAGTAAATCTGGAATGCTTCCTGTTGCAAGACTGAGCAAGAAAAGTCGCAGCAACGGGTACAGGTTCAGACCTTGAAAGGCACTACACTTGAACTCGCCAGGGGGAATTCTCGGGTCCGGAATTATTTGAGGAATTTTTTTTGTTTTATTTGGGGAATTTTTTTTGTTTTTAGCTTTTGCTTGGGAAAGGGGGGGCAGGGAGGGAGGGAGGGAGGGAGGGGGGAGGGGAGGGAGGGAGGGGAGGGAGGGGAGGGAGGGAGGGAGGGGGAGGGAGGGGGGTGGAAGGGGGAGGGAGGACGGGGAGGGAGAGGGAGAAGGAGAGGGAGAGGGAGAGGGGAGATGGGAGAGGGGAGAGGGGAGAGGGGAGAGGGGAGAGGGAAGAGGGAAGAGGGAAGAGGGAAGAGGGAGAGGGAGAGGCAAAGGGAGAGGGAGAGGCAGAGGGAGAGGCGGCGAGGGCGAGGGCGAGGGAGAGGGAAAGAGGAAGAGGGAGAGCGAGAGAAAGGGAGGAAATGGGGGGAAAGGAAAGCAGGGAGGAAGGGAAGAAGAAGGCAAGGGCGCCAAAAAAGAAGAAGGCAAAAACGCAAGCAAACGAACAAACAAGCAAGCAACCAAGAACTCGAGGAAACAAAGGGAAGAAATATATAAGGAAAGTCAATAAGCACAAAGCAGCAGCAACACAAGGAATAGCGGCAAACAGAATAGATATGTAGATGTGCCTGTGTGTATGCGTCTATATACCTCTACTCCGGTCAGACACCTGAAAGGTGAGCCGGCACTTACAAGGAATAGCGGATTAAAAAACAGATATGTATATGTGCATATGTGTATGCATCTATACTCCTCTACTCCGGTCAAGTACTTGAAATTCCAGTCAGATACCTGCAAGGTGAGCCGGCGCGCACAAGGAATAGCGTCTTTTCGACAGATATGTATATGTGCATCCGCCTGGTTAGAAATGGTCTGTGAGATTGATCATGGTCAAAAAGAAATGAATTTGCTTAATGCACCACTCAACAACGAGGTCATGGGGTAGCGGCTCCAGTTATTGCACTGCCAAGCAGCACCGCTGATGCTCATGATGCGCGTGTCTTGTCCGCCCCCAAACCTGGTGATGCTGGTCCTAAAACCCAAACCGCCTGGTCCGTCTCGTTCTCCCACAGCCGAAATCTTGAGCCAGTGAGTGTTTATGGGAGGGTCTAGTGAAGAGGGACATGCGATATGTGATAAGTGCGCACCTGTGCACAATCAAGTGTGACTCCAAGCCTATTGAAATCTTGCCGCACACGAAGCCATGGAAATCCACCCGGACGAGGTAAGGTTCAACCGCACAAAACATGTAATGCTCAAAAAAATCAACTTTTCCAACCCTTGCAACGCACGAAACACTGTACTGCTCAAAAAAATCCCAAAATTTTAAGGACTCTGCCCCCCTGACATACTACCGACCCTCCTTTCTTCCTTCTTTCTTTTCGTCCTTGCTTCCTTCATTCCTTCCTTTCCTCCCTTCTTGCTTTGTTTCTTTCTTTTCTTCCTTCGATCCTTTTTCCTTGCTTCCTTTCCTTCCTTCCTTCCTTCCTTCCTTGTGTCCTTGCCTTCTTGTGAAGAAGTCAGGAGGCCAGGCCAGGTCGTGAAGCCAGGAAGCCAACTAGTGTTGACGCAAAGAAGGCCAACAAGACAGCAAACCAGGAAGGAAATCCCATAAACCAAGAAGCCAAAAGACGACAACAAACCAGCAAGGAAAGCCAAAAAGCCGAGAAGCAGAAAGCAAAAGCAAAAAGCAAAACCAGTAAAAAGCAAAGGCAGAAAACAACAGGCCAACGCCCAAAAGCCGAATAAGCAAAAGCGAAAAACAAAAAAAATCACAAAAAAAAACAATACAGTGTTTCGTGAGTTTCAAGGCTGGAAATTTTGGAAGTTTTTTGAGCATCACAGTGTTTTCTGATGTCCAGGACAGGATATATTGCATCACAAGATAATTGTGTGCTTTCAACCGTTGTCAAGGACTAAAAGTAATGATTTATGTGTCTTCTGGAACAACAACGGTTTTCATTGCTCTTGTTAGGTAAGTATGAAAAAGGCCTAGTCGTTGCAGAGTTTATTTCATATATGTTTTCGTTGGTTGGTAGATCTATGGCACCAGCAGCACTGGCTCCAGTACCTGAGCTTTCTCGAAAATGGTTTTGGCCATTCTTCGGCAAGCTGCACCGCCTACAGATCCATCACTGTAGCAGCGCAAGCCTATCTAGAACTTAATTCATTTCATGTTGAAGACTGTGGGAAACTGTTTGCATCTTGCTATCATCAGAAACAATGGAGACTTCCTATTCGGTTTCCTATGAGACATCCTCATACCTATCAAGCAAGAGACATGAAGATTCCTGCTAACCCAGAAGAGAATTCTACGATGTCACCTGTAGTTTTTGAAGACTGAAGAGAGCTCTTTTTCATGTTGTGATACGAACTATGACAGCGTTTAAATCACAGTCACATACAGAAGGACCGGTATCGCTTTGTCAGGATGTGAAGGAGGTGTAGAAACCGATACAAGTCTTATGCCTCTTGCCCGTTTAATAAAAGATACCAGTAAGCAAGCTTCTCTTTGTTTCTTGATCACATCTGGGGAGTGTCGCTTGAAGATTGAAGAGAGCTACTTTTTCCGCTACGTTCTATGACAGCAATTAGAGAAACAGCCATGGACATAGCGATCGGCATCTTCTGCGGGGTATAGGACAGCATCATTAATAAGAGTTAACCGAATGAAAACTCATGGCCCTCCATGAAGTGCCATTTTACTGTGTTTTACAAGGTTAAGGAGCCCCTGCCTTGTGATTGATACGTATCAATGCAGCCAGTCGTAATTAGTCCTGCTCCATGTTTGGAAGGTTGCAAGAGCTCTCTTACTTATTGCTGTAGACGAGCCTTCTTGTGCGCCCGCATATGCACATGAACTTTCCAACTCCAGGGGGCCTTTCCCATTTTTTATGAGGCAAAGAACAACTATTGGAGTATTGCTTCAAAAATAAATGCGCCCGTATATTCGACTTCCTCCGTGTATAACGGACAGGACATGAAAGTAGCTCTTTGTGTTTCGTAACTCATAAATCAAATGCTAGAGCTATGAGGCCGCATCAGAATCGGACGCTCACGAGCAGCGGGAAAGAGATGGCCCACGCACACAGACGTTCTCGCAAGAAAGACAATAGTATTTTTATTATTAGAGGAATGTCGTTAAATAACACACCATAAAACGCAAAAAACACGAGGTTTCTCAGTACTACCTGAACAAAAATAGCACGCCCTCCAGCATTTCAGCCTCTCCAACATATAAACTACCATAAATCTGCTGCCGAAATTCGGCGCCAGACTTTTACACATATCAAACCCGCGACTTGTAGCAGTACTGTTTGCATGCACATGGAGTAAAGCACAATTGTATCGGAATTTACGGTGCTTTCGGCATATATGAGTAGTCGACCAATGTAGAGAAGCAACCTGTGGAACTGTGTGGAAGAGGCGGATGTAGATCTTGGGGGGGGGGTGACCATATATATATATATATATATGTATATACTCTATATTTAGTTTATATACTGACATACTACCGACCCTCCTTTCTTCCTTCTTTCTTTTCGTCCTTGCTTCCTTCATTCCTTCCCTTCCTCCCTTCTTGCTGTGTTTCTTTCTTTTCTTCCTTCGATCCTTTTTCCTTGCTTCCTTTCCTTCCTTCCTTCCTTCCTTCCTTGTGTCCTTGCCTTCTTGTGAAGAAGTCAGGAGGCCAGGCCAGGTCGAGAAGCCAGGAAGCCAATTAGTGTTGACGCAAAGAAGGCCAACAAGACAGCAAACCAGGAAGGAAATCCCATAAACCAAGAAGCCAAAAGACGACAACAAACCAGCAAGGAAAGCCAAAAAGCCGAGAAGCAGAAAGCAAAAGCAAAAAGCAAAACCAGTAAAAAGCAAAGGCAGAAAACAACAGGCCAACGCCCAAAAGCCGAATAAGCAAAAGCGAAAAACAAAAAAAAATCCCCCAAAAAAACAAAATAAATTCCTCAAATAATTAGGATTCCGAATTCTCTTGTCGAAAATCCTCAGTGTCTCGTTGCGGTGTGTCCTCAAGCCGTAGGGCCATTCGAAGGAACACATCCAGTCTTTCAGACTTTCCGCTGTCACACCGTGGGTATAGAGCATGGGGAACAAAAGCCCCAGCTCCACGTGCATCAGTCCTGCTACCAAGTAACAGTGTAGCCAGTCGTACATCAAAGTGGAGGCCAAAGGCAAACTCCCATGGAACAGGACACCATCTGGGTTATGGTTCATCCCCAGTGACTGCTCCAGCTGCTCAAAAGCCTTCTTGGAGACTTGGCCACATCGGCTTTGCAGTAACCTGCAGCCCTGCCAGATGGTATTGTCCGTTCTTGCACAAAACTTCTCCAGAGCAGTTTCGTGCACAGGTACCAGTGTCCCAGTTGTGTCACAGCCTTCCAGCATGCTCGTCTTGGCAACAACATTGGAGCACAAAGGACATGGTAGTGTCCCCGAGGAGCCCTTCACATCAAAGACTGCCTTCAAGGCAGCTTCATCTGCCACCATGGTGTCCAGTTTCGCGAAGAACATAACTCGTTCACCGCCCGAGTCCAGAAGCAAGCCATGCTCGAAGTCCTCAAGCTTCAGTGCTTGCAGGAGGTGGTGGGTGAACTGCGAGAGGCCGCCAGGAAGTTGGTTCACCAGATGGGACCTCGCCAAAGCCACCGTGAACCACATTCTTGGCAACGGAACTCCGCCCCGAATTCATGGAAGGAAAGGTAGTAGGCTTGGATCTTCCGTGTGTTTTGCTGCTTTAGTTGGTTGCCCGGTGATATCTCATCACAATATAAACACACCCGCCAAGGTGTGTTTGCCTTGGGCGGGTGTTCTGCTGAAAAAACTAACAAGCAGGTTCTTGACGACGTACCACATCCAGGCTTTCAGATTCAATGTTGGGAAACTCCGTTCCTTTCCCTTGTTGTCTTTGATCTGCATATTGTCGATCAAAGCGCCATATGGTGTGTCGATGGCGACCTGTTCCTCTCTGGCTCTCTTGATGCCTGATCTGGAAGGTGCCACTGTGGAAGACGATTCGGAAACCTCCTTCAAAACAGCTGCTAAACCACTCTGGCTCACATAATGCTTCCGACCCAAGCTGGCCACGTCCAACGACATGGCTAGTTTCTGAATGCCGGCGAGCTTGCAGCCCTGCCGGCTTGATGGGCCCCAATGAAAATCTGTATAATATCATGCTCTCGGCTTTTATAACTACGAGCAATTTTGCGAAGGACATATATTTACCTATATTGAGGCTTCCCTTCCCTATATCTATCTATGTTCTATATTTATCTATTTATAAACCCTAAATCCATAAACCTTAAAACCTTAACACTAAAACCCATACACATAAACTCTCAACCCTATATATAACTTAACCCAAAACGATAACCCTTATGTCCTGGAATGGCATAAGGTGTCAAAGCAGCTTCATGAGATCTGACTACATGGCCTGGCACAGATCCAGCTTTGCAAACAAATCCACATGCACGGCTGACGAAGCAACTCTCATGTCGATATGTGCATGCATGCATTCGCTCCGGCCAAAGGCATGCTATCTGCATGTTTTTGTCTCGGCTCGCGATCATGCTCATGCAGACCCATCTGCAGGCATGCTTGATGTTGCTGGACGAAGATGCACAAATGGCGGAACTGAGGGAACATTTTCTTGTCCCTCGTGGCAAAACGGGTTTAGAAACAGCTTGGGCAGCAGCCCGGTTTGGACCTGCATTTGGAGCAACCGTGTGGCCTCAACAAGACTCGCTTCGCGAGGGGGAGCGAGGCCCAATACTTTTTGCCGGCAGCATGGGCTGAAGGCTTCTTCAAGATGCTCTTGGGCTGGGCCTTTGCCTTGGGCTGGGCCTTTGCCTTGGGCTGGGCCTTTGCTTTCGGCTTGGACTCACTTTTAGCCTTGGCCTTAGCTTTTGCTTTAGCCTTAGCTTTCCCCTTCGGCTTGGCAACTCCCTCGAACTCGTCAGCCGTTCGCTTGCCCTGGCCTCCAGTCTTGCGGTTGTCCAATGCATCGGACACTTTGGTAGCTTCCTCTAGGGCCTGAGTTGTGTCGAGCTGGAAGGCGAAGGGGTCTGCAGGCTTTGTCTCGATGCCGCTTTCTCCGTTCTCTGGCTGCTGTGCCTGTGTCGAAGAAGATGGCTGCTGTGCCTGTGTCGAAGAAGATGGCTGCTGTGCCTGTGTCGAAGAACATAGCTGCTGTGCACATGCCGGTGTCGAAGAAGATGGCGGCTGTTGCGATCCCGAAGAGGACCCCGTGCCGGGAGCGAAGATCTGGAGGTTCTGCAACCCTCCCTGCTGGGTCGCCAAATCTTGCTGCTGCTTCATCCATTGCATGAGGCCCTGCATGGACGAAGCATGTGGCATGCCATGCATGCCCATCATTCCCTGCATGTAGGGGTTAACCATCATGTTCATGCCACCCATGTGCATGCCAGGCATCGACATAGAATTTGCCGGCACCATGGCAGTGCTCGCCTTCGGTGTGGCAAAGATGCCTCTCACCTTCTTGTTCGTCGGTCTCAGCGAAATGTCCATGGCTTTGAGTGCCACCTGCCCAGCCGGCAGCAGAGTGCTAACCGGCCCATCCTCGGCATCGTAGGCCGCCTTGAACAAAACATCCGGTAGCTCACGAGGCCCACCCACCGGATAGGTTTCAATGTGAATCCCTTCTTTTGGGACTTTCTTCGCTTTGAGACGAAGCACTCTTTTGAACTCCCCCACCTGGAGAAAGAGCTCGGCTTCAGCGCATGTGCCACCGGATCTTGCAGCGATGGCGGCCAGGATACTTTTCACACATTGCTCTGACGGCAATGTGAGCCTCAACCGGCAGCACCTGCTTGCTGCAGTGTCGAGCTTGATGTGGATGCTGGAATCAGAAGTCAGCACTTCCACGTCCTTCTCGCTCAAGTAGGACTCGAAGCTGCTGCACAGTTGATTCTCCCTGCGATTCTCGCTGCCTTTGCTCCCACTTGTTGCACTGACACCCTTGGCCAGCACTTCAGAAAAGGCTTTGGTTTGGTCAACAGACCATGGGCCGGTGCTCCACGAATCGGCCAGTGCTGCCCCTGCCTCAGGGTCGAGGCAAAGCCCTGCAGCTCGCTTCGTGAGGGCATCAGCTTGGATCTGGCGAATCGACTCATAGTTGGGCATGGAAGACATGCTCCCCAGGAACTTGATGGTCGCCGAGAGGTCGCCCTTGAATTGGTCCACGGCGGTTAAAGCTGCCATGTTCGAGACACACAGGAGCTGCCAGCGAGCGAGAAGCCCTGCTGGCGATAATGTGAAAACAGAGCCAAGCCTCATGCATTCAGAGTACAACAACAGGATGCTGCAAATCGATGCCCCTTCCTCCATGCACAAGATTGCAGGGCAACATCCATGCTTCACAATCATGCAATGGTGGCATTGTGCTCGCCTGGCAGTGCATGTTCCTCACATACAAACAATGCCCCATGCATGCCGGTGTGCATGCTGTGCATGGGTGGAGGGTTGGGGTGGGATGGGGTGGGTGCATGGTGTTTCGACATATATAGATGTGTCGTGTATATATATATATATATATATATATAGTATATGTGTATAGAAGCATATAGACACAACCAGAAATATGTGTACCAATACATGTATATATCTATATATATATATGTATAGATATATATATGAGACAGAGAGAGAGAGAGAAAGAGTTCTCTGATGCATATGCACTTATATATATATGTATATACTATGGCATATATAATGTGTGTAGATATATATATATACAGCATTATATTTTAGAAAAAGGAAATGAGAGGCCACACAAAGTAATCATTGCAGATGATACCTGAGACAGACTTGTGATATATATATATATATATATAATAAATGTACATGAAGAAGTAAAACCTATAGCTGGGAGATACGAATATGTGCAATGTATAAAACAACATACACCACCAAATAATATGTGTATATGCACATATATATATATATATATATATACATGTATATATGTAAAAGAATTATACATATACATTTATCACGACGAGCAGGACAGGAAGCAAAGCACAGTAAAGGTGGGCTTTGCCGGGGCGAGGAGGGTTGTTGTCGGGGTGTGTGTGTGTGTGTGTGTGTCCTCGCCTGGCAATTCGAGTCTTTGCCTTTGTGTGTTTTGGCCTTGCAGGGCACTTGTGCTCGCAGGCACACGTGCATTGTTGTTTTTGCTCATGATGTTGTTTCTCTTTTTGGTTTCTCTGTTTGGTGCAATGGTCAAAAAAGGTTTGCTTGTTTCTTTTGTTGTTTTGTCCATATGGTTCTATGCATACATGTGTGTATACACAGGTATATGTATATGTGTATATATAAAGTATATATATATATGTATATACATATATATATATATATATACATATGAATATCTATATATATATATATATGTATACATTCATATAACGATTCATGACTATATGCATATATATCGATACATGGAACATGTTTCTGACCTCAAGGACACAACTGTCACAAGTCTTCAGTACATGGAACCGAGCAAGCAGCTCTCAGCGCACAACCGCCGAAATCGCCATTTTCAGCTGAAGCCGGTCAAACATGTGTCTCCGTCGAACGACTACAACTGGCCGGGGTCCGGGGCCAATTTCAGGTACCTTGCAAGGTACATCTACAGGGATTTGGGGCCACCTGGAAGATGATCGGCAGCCGTGCTGTATATGTTTGTGTTTGTGTGTTGGTTTGTGGCTCTCGCCCTGCTGCTGTGTGTGCTGTGTGCTGTGGAAGATCTGGTGTGTGAGTTGCTGTGTTGTGCCTGTTCTGGCTGCCTGCTTCTTCCAGGCTCCCGGCACCGTTGCAGCCGAGCTCAGAGTGCATGGGCCTGCCACAGGGTGCCAACCGCCAGCCGATACAAAATCACATCATCTCCGGTCCGTGCCTGGAGATAAAAAGCCGGCACGATCATCCGGCCCATGTGGATGCCCAGCATCCTGCAATCGGGACAGCAGAGGCAAAAGCCCCTGGATGACACCACGACCGATGCAACCACGAGTTTATCGATCTATAAACTCTTGGCCCCGAGGATGCCCGGGAGTTTATCGATCGATAAACCCTTGGTCTCGTCCTCCTTATAAGAGAGAAGGCCGGGACAGAAGTTTATAGATCGATAAACCCTTGCTCCCCCCGAACCCCGAGAGTTTATAGATCGATAAACTTGTGTTCCCGAAGCACAACAGAGTCCTTGTGGAGGTTCACCATCGCCGGCTCCACGTGACAGTGTTCTTCCACTTGTCCTGTCGGGTGTTTGGGGCTCTCAATTTACTTCGAACAGAGCAATGTCGCAGACCTCGCCCTGCGAAGAGCTCGAAGCCTGCGAGGCAAACATCTCCCTCTGGAAGCCCAGCATCTCCCGTTGGAGCTCAGTCTGCCAGGAAGCAAGGAAGCACAAACCCCAAAGCCACAGAGGCAGCAGGAGCAGAGAAGGAGGGGAGAGGGAGACATGTGAGAAGGAGGCCTGGTTCGTGAGGGTCTGAGCCATCGTGCTGATGGCCTTGAACTCCTGGCCGTGGACCCTCTGGCCACCACGGCTTCGCGAGCGGATCCTGTCGGCAGTCGGGGCAGGGTCCCTAAACCCTGCAAAAGAAGACACCCTGAACCCTGCAAGTGCCTTCCACTGCCAGGCGGCCAAAGAACTCCATTCTCATCAAGAAAGCCATGAATCTGTCTCCCCTGCACCGGGGTGGCTTTCTTGACTGCCCATGGAGCTTTCCCGGAAGCGATCTCCACCGTAGTGACCTGAAACAAGCAAGTCCATGCATGCCAGAGCGAGCTTTGAAGTCATTGGAGCCCGGCTTTGGTGGGGGGCTTCGCCTGCACGGTCAAAGCCTGCAGCAGGACAATAACAGAAGGGCTGCTTCACTCCGGCGGTTCATTGGCCTTGAAGGGGTCATCCTTGGCAGGCACCACAGCCTGCACACCGGCCACAGACGAAAATCTTAATGGTGAGTGTTTCCCTCGCCTTGTGCTCGCCCGTGAGATCGACAGCAGTCTGAACAACACAAAGGCCAACGAATCATAACTGCATGGGTTCTCACTTCTTTCTGTGTTTGCGAACCTCTGTCTCCTCGGGCAGCGGATCCACTGCAACTTCTTCCTCCGTGAACACACACACACAATGCCTGAAGCTATGCTCCTTGTGTGAAATCTATGCAGCACCTGCTCGTCATCATCCTCGTGGATCATCGGCTCGATGAGCTCCTGCACGTGCACACAACATCGAACTGCACCTGTGCTTCCTTTCTAAAAACAAAGCAGCACTTGGTCCTCCTCCAAGGCAGGCTCCGGGTCCATCAAAAGCTCCTGCACTCAACATCGAGCTGAACCTTTGCTTCCTTAATTGAAAAGAATGCAGCACCTGATCCTCGTGGAAGTGCTGCTCCGCTTCCTCCTGCAGTCACAATACTTTGGGTATAATATCAATATATGTATACAATGTTGCACCTCCTCCCCTCCCAAACGGTCTTCTCCATCATCTTGCTCCGCCCATGGGTCCTGTCGCAGACAGCACACAAAACAAATTCCGTTTTTCCGTGGCCACTCCAGCCTGGAACTCCTCATCATGGCCAGTCGAAGCAGAGACCTTAGATAAATGTACATCAAGAACCATCATGGGAAACACCGCCAAGGCCTCGACCTCATGAGGAGGCGAGCCCTTCGGCTCCGGAGGAGGCTTCGAGCCCGAAGCCTCTTCACACCACATCGGGTGACAAGAAGAACCAATGTAACGATCGAGTGCCTCGGCTGGCTCCTCGCCGGATCTGACTTCCTGTATCAAACAACACTGCATGTTCCATCCGAAATACTTCAGACACACATCCAAGGTCCTCGAAGTAGATTTGGCTGTTCCTGTACCGGCCCTTCTTGGAGCACCAGAACTTCCAGCCTGATCGGTGTGTTGGGTTGCTGGGTGTATGTTGAAGTTCACACAGGCCTTTCTCAGGAGGCTCCAGGGACTTCGAGACATTGAACCAGATGGAGAGCACCTCCTCGGAGTCCCCCATCTTGTCCACGTGCCAGCCTGGACCAAAAAAATCATTTCTCTCCATGCATGATCAGCACATGCACCCCACCTCCTTTCGTCCACCTCAGCCTTCCCCAAGGCCTTGCAGCCGGCCCCGAAAGCCACCTCCACTTCTTCTTCTTGTCCTTCGTCCAATGCACAGACTGCAAAGTTTCAACCTGGAGAAGTGCACAACCCCTGTGGCCGTCGCCTTCGTGAAGATGTCCCCGATCGAAGCCTGCAAGTCGTGCTCCGCCGCCTGCATATAGGGTTGAGGGTTTAGGGGTTTTTACAAATATGTAGGGCATGCAGTGCAGCAGACATGCCTCGGGCATTCCATTGAAAAAGAGGCGATAGCAAGCCATGGCTATGTCGCAAGCCCTAAACCCCGAAACTTCGATAGTTCATGGCCTCAGTGGCTGTATGCCTGCTGCATGCATGCATCGGCCTCGGTGGCTGTATGGCTGCATACATGTTGCATGCATCCTCATGTGCATGCTGTTGCGAGAGCCTTCGTGCATGCGGGGCGGCAAATGCAGGAAGCAGTGACAACACATGCAACAAAAGCATACACTCTCTCGTAACCGTCTCTTTCTCCTGCCCCTTCTTTCACCCCTGCGATTTGGAACACTTTCCCTTTCCCCGTGTCATATGTATATATTCAAACATGCTACATGTGTGTGTGTGTGTGTGTAATAGAAAAGGCATCCATCATTCATTGTATGATATGGCAAGCAGCAAAGCTGTATACCACATTTCTTCTTTCCCTCGCAAGAATGCAAAGTGGCCCCTCAAAATCGTCTATGTAATATATAGACATGGGAAACATGCTGCCGATCAATAGTCTTCGTCCTTCTGTTCCCCATCAACCTCGCCGTCCTCGGCCTCCTCGTCGCTGCTGTGACCCCGGGCTCGCTTCTTGCTGCCGGATCGTCGTGCCACCCGAGGCTTCGCTTCCTCTGCATCCAGCTCGTTCTTGAACAAGTTGATGTTCTCTTCTGTGAAGTGCATCCAAATGGTTTGGGTGTTGATCCCCTCAATCAAGACTTTGAGGCCACGTTCGCGACATTCGATGTCGAGCACTTCTGGCAGCATAATCATGTGCTTGCTGTTTGCCCTCACTGCCTTAGGCTTTTTTCGGGCACCATGGGCAGTATTATCTTTGACCTCAACCTCGAGGGCTTCC